GAAGGTTAAAAAAAAAAAAAAAAAGCAACCACACAAATGAATACACAGTGTTAAATCATGATAACTGCTTTGAAGAAAAGAACAGGGAAGGAAACAGCTACTTTAGACTTAGATTGAATGATTAGAAACGGTTTTGCTGGACGGAAAACATGAATTTGAAGAATGATAGGATTTAGCCAGAGAAAGAGAGGAAGAGTTCTAAGTATAGAGAATAATTTTTGTAAAGACTTTGAAGAGAGAATGTGGCACATACCTAGAACTGAAAGAAGCAGGTATGGCTGAAGCATGGAGAATGTGTGGCTTAGGATGGGGTTGAAACATTAAGCAGCAGCCCCATCACACAGGACCATGTTGAGGAAATTAGATTTCATTTTAGGAGCAGTGAGAAACCATGGAAGAGCTTTACCCAAGGGAGAGACGATCTAACTCATAGTTTCAAAAGAACTCTCTGAGGGGGAGAGAGGAGTATGGGAGTGAAATAGTAATGGGTTTAAGAGAGAAAGTGGGAAGGAAACTGAAAGGGGAATGGGTAGAGATGGGAAAAAGAACCAGGGGAATCAATGAAAGAAGGAGACAAAGACAGGGGTAGAAACAGTGAGACCATATAGGAAATGGGAGCATACAGGAAATGAGGTGGAGAGGTGCCTAGCAGAGGAAGGGTTAGGAATCTACTGCAGTACTGCAGTAGTTTGGTGACAAATGATGGTGACTGAACTAGAATGTGGATAGTGTCTCTACTCAAGAGAAGTGGATGGATTTGATATCCACTTCAGTTAGAACCAAGACTTGATAATGGTTAGAAATGGAGAGGTGGATAGGAGGGATGTAAGGACAGAGTGAACTATTAAGAATGACTCCCAGGTTTCTGGCTTAAGCAACTGAGCAAATAGTTAGTGGGAGATGAGGATGATGGGAGTCTGAATAGATCAAAGCAGGGAACAGAGTACTAACAGGTCAAAAGTGCTGTGCTTTGGTCATGTTTAATTTGAGAAGCCTTTAAAGACAGCCAAGTGGGAGTGTCGATCTAGCAGTTGGAAATACTATTCTAGAGCTAAGAAAAAAGTTCAAG